AATCGACCAAAACCGTTATACACGGGAGCTCTCTTCTTCGACGTCGCAAAAGCGTTCGACAAAGTCTGGCACAACGGTTTGATTTTCAAACTATTCAACATGGGTGTGCCGGATAGTCTCGTGCTCATCATACGGGACTTCTTGTCGAACCGCTCTTTTCGATATCGAGTCGAGGGAACCCGCTCGCCCGATCCATCAGATCCAATAACCTTTGCACTAGACGCCTTCAGCTCTAGGAGCAGGCTTAGGGACCTCGGTAACCGTACTCGTCGAACTCGACAAAGAGTTCGCCGTGCAACCTAACCCATGAATCAGCTCGCTGAGTTTCTTGCCGGATCTTCTCAGCGGGTCGCGATTCCGATCCGGTAGTAGATTCATTCGCGAAGCAGCTACTCTTGAGTTGTTAGGTCTCCTCCGGAGGCGCTCGGGTAGCTGTTAGCAAATCCCACCCCTCCTGGCTGAGCCTTTGCTCGCCCACCTGTCCTGGTGAAACTGGAAAGGCCTCCGGGCCACCAGTAATCCTTCAATCATAAAAAAAAAAAAAAATAGGATTAGATCTTAGTCGTTCTTATTTATCTTTTAAAGTAATGATAAGCTTATTACACAGCATAGAATATATTTTCCATTCCTCATCGAAGTTAAGGAAATAGTCAATAACTTTTAAAATTACGATTCAAAGCAACTTTTCTATAGATCAAGGAACAAATATTAATTTCTATTGCATAGATGAGAGAACGATATTCCAGTCCAAGGTGTTACTGCATACCTTAAACATAACAATGTGAATGCTTCACCTTACAATGCTTGGAGATTTTTTTTACAACAAGTGCTTAGCTAAAATGAACAACCTAAAACCTTTTACCTTCCAACCTAATAATATGGATGTTTTAAATTTTAAAATTGCAACACTGAGATTGTCGAACATTGAATTGCCACAAATCTGTCTGCAGGTGTTACGGAGTTTTCCCCACAAAACAAGTGCGAGAAGTTAATAATGACTTTTTTAAATATTATATCAATTGCGGTAAGTTCTTTTTTATATTCGAAATAGGGAAGTTTGGAGTTAAGCAGTTAAAATGTTTCGTGCGCGGTGTACTGGTATAAGGAAAATATTGACATTTCGTTCACGATCGGTCTCTGGTCGTACAAAGGCTGTTTTTAAGTTGTTACATACTACGTACCTATCGATCTCATTGTAGCTTTTGCCGTATTCATCTTTTAGATAATGAAATATATTAAATGGGTTTGTTGTGGGGGCTTTGTCCAGTTTGTATTATTTATTACATTATGGTATCCAGACTCCAGAATAAACATGAACCTCGCTGATATAGTTGTTTCGATACAAAAATCACAAAAACAATGTTTAAATCGATCGAGTAAATGATGAACTTCTAGTGGACTTTCAAACAAGCAACTTCAGAATGTTGTTTTGATAATTTATTTCTACTTTCATATCAAATAGGTGCTGCCAGTTCAAAAAATAACTATTCTCCTATACATTTTTGCCATTTTTTAAGCTATGTTTAGTAGATTTTCAGAGTTTTTCATACGAATATTTCAATCCCAATTTTATCCCCATTCGCCCCTCGATTCCTATTAACCCCGTTTGACGGTAATGAAAAATATTAAATGGGTTTGTTGTGGGGGCTTTGTCCAGTTTGTATTGTTTACCGATTCAGTCGAAACTTTAGACAGTCCACAAATTATATCGGTGCTCAAACTTTTTGTCAAATTTCATTCTTACAACTAAATCTCGTAATCCAATATATTTTCACGACTTCCGTGATAAATGACTAGCATCACTACATACTACTATAAAACAAAGTCGCTTTCTCTGTCCCTATATCTGTCTGTCCCTATGTATGCTTAAATCTTTAAAACTACGCAACGGATTTTGATGCGGCTTTTTTTAATAGATAAAGTGATTGAAGAGGAAGGTTTATATGTATAATAACATCCATTAAATAGTGGAGAAATCAATAATAAATTACAGTTTCCCAAGCGACGCGAGGGCAGGTCGCTAGTTTCGTAATAAAACTCAAAGTGGGCAAATTACAAATGGTTTTTTTTTTTTGTACTGCCCCACCCTTCAAACCGAAACGCATTACTGCTTCGCGGCATAAATAAGCAGGGCGGTGGTACCTATCCACGCGGACTTACAAGTGGTCCTAACACCAGTAATTACGCAAATTATAATTTTGCGGGTTTGATTTTTATTACAGATGCTATTCCTTCACTGTGGAAGTGAATCATGAACATTTGTTGAGTATATATTTCATTAGAAAAATTGGTACCCGCCTGCGGGATTCGAACACCGGTGCATCGCTTCAACACGAATGCACCGGACGTCTTATCCTTTAGGCCACGAAGACTTCAAAGCTTCCGCTTCACACTCTCCGGTTTCTGTCAAACAGCGTCAACCTACTATAATATTGTGACCTCATGTCTCAAAAAAACAGCAGCATTCAGGTTATGAGACGAGCTGCACCTACCACGTCAGCCCCGTTTTAAATCTCTTTTGCAAAATACCTGTTGTAATACTCAGTATCTTCCCGAGGCGAGGGTGTATTGACGACGGCTACGGGAGAAGGAAGGAACTTTCCGCCGATTGCGAGTGGCGCACTGGTCAAAGACACATCACTGGATTATCCCAAATATATCCTCCCGTACTTAGTAATAAGCAATAATTTTAGAGTTGTATCCCTTCACTGCTGCTCATACTGCTGGTGTCAGCTCAAACGAAGCCGCAGCCCGCGCTGGTGTCTCCGTGCCCTAGTGTCTTCGAATACGACACAAGCATACAGCATCCAGGTAGATGGTACGGCGTTATCAAGCTATCAAGCGACTACACTATGCACTCGTTGTGGTTGAACATACATCTGGACAACTATTCTGAGGCGTTTAAGGTGAAAACTTCGTGTTTTGTGGTTAAAGTAGAACTTATGAAATTTACACTTTTTTTGCTTGCCTTTTGTCTGCATGTACCGAGCGGAGATTTCAAATTAAATTCTAACATCAAATACAATACAATTTTTGGGGGGCTATAGATACTTACGGTTTTATTTTTTATTTGTGAGATCGCGATGTTTCAACGCTGTTGCATGTTTCATTATCATGTAATAAAACGTAATATTTGAGTTATGGGGTGAATCTTTGCTTTCATCGCTGTCTGAATTCTGATTCTACTTGTATTCCAAAGAGCTACGTACAGAAACACATGATAGACTCTATGGGAAGTTGTACCAAAAAAAAACTCTATGGGAAGCTCACCAGGGTATGTTAGAAATGTCTACCTTCACGACCCTTCAAATTTAGAACCGTTCCGTATGTATTCTAAGCTAACGTCAGAACGTTACCTTGACAAAGCGGTGCGACACGATAATCCTCTTGTCGTTATTTACTTATGCGACTCCGTCAACAGGGCAACGTGAAGTCGCCGTCGCCCGAAATATTGTCTAAATTTGTCGGATCCCCCGGATACACTTTCGGTGTTTTCAAACCCCTCAGGCACCGGTCACCG